ACGTTTCTGAAAAGGTCTTGCTAAAAGGTACAGAGTTAGACGGCCAAGGCCTAGAAATGTTGACTGTGTTTGATCATTTTGCCCAGCCCTTTAAAACGAACGTTTGAAAAGAGTCCTTTGGTGAGAGGAACTGGCCAACTGCTGGAGAGCATCGTCTTCCCTTGCGTGAATGGCGAGTCCCCAGCACAAGAAAGCACGGAAGTGTAACTGTGATAGATGCAGGCACTGGCAGCTCTAAAATCTTTTTTTTTTTCATGTTCCTACTCCTCTCGTGGTCTATGCAAGGGAACGTGTTGTTATTCTCACTTTCCTTTGCAGATGGCTCTGGGAAATCGCTCTTGGCTCAGAAAGATGGGTTAGACATTCACCCTTATCGTGTGAAGTTGGTGATGGCCCCTCAAGAGTCCCTGAGACTCTCCTCTACAACTAGTGTGTGGATGAGGTCATGGGGTAAGAAGGAGGGAAGAATAGAACCTGTTGACTGCTCGGCTGATGGCATGCTTAGAGTAGAGAATAGGAGTAGGGAGTGGAAGGCAGAAGCAGGAGCATGGCTGGAGTAAAGGAATGGAAACCAAAAGGTGGTACCCAGCATGTTCCTAAACTGAGGCAGAGCCTTTACCACGTCTGAGTCTGAAGCGACAAGGGCGGTCCAAGTCAACCAACCTATATAGCGAGGAAACCTAGATACAGATGGATAACAGGCCATTGGCCTCTCCTTGGGCCTTGCTTTGCCTCCCAGTTTCCTGTTGCTGCCTTCTACTGGCCAAATCCAAGAGAATAAGGGCATCCTGGTGGTGAATTCTTTCTGAGTTGCAGAAAACCCAGCGGGGAGGAGAATGGCTGGAGGGAGGGGGGAGTGGAGGGGAAGCCACCTAACTGTCAACACCGCATGAAACCCACCCTGTCTGGTGTCCACACTCAACCATCACATAGGCGAGAAAGCGTTTTCAGACCCTGGTAAGCATGGAGAATGAACAAGATTGAGGACAGAGTGCCTACAATAAATGGGGGAGCTATTTCAGATGGAGCCAGCAGGGAAGGCTTCTCGGAGGAGGAGGCAGTTACAGACTTCCTAGGAAAGTTTTCCTGGACACCACAAACTTCCTTCTATGTGGTTTGATTTAGATGCACCCAGTAAAGATGCAAGGCAGAACCATAAACACGATAGGGACTGCAGCATCTACAGTCTCTGAGAGCACGGTGAGATGCATTTGTGTGTCCTCTCTCTCTCTCTCTTTCTCTCTCCCCCTTAGAGAACTCAGCCTTTCTCTCTTGCAGTTCTATGAAGGGAGCCCAGTAGTCTCCTCACTCTTTCTTGGCAGCTCTTCTGCTGTGAGCTGGAGATAGATTTTTTTTTCCCCCTTCTTCATACCCCTTCAACTCTCAGTCTAAAATGTTAAACACTGTGTCAGGCAGGTGATACCTGCATCCTAGCTCTCTCCCAGGCTCTGATAACCCGGCATTTAACAGCCCTGCGGGCAGCTGCGGGTCTGTATTTTCCTCCTGTCCCCCACCGCCAGACTCCTTCTAGTCAATTTCAAAGGTACCTCCAGTTTTCACTCGGTGGCCTCAGGGCCATTTTTTTTTTTCAATAGGTAAGACTTCTCAGTCAATAAAGTCAACTCAGTCTTCTTGCCCAGCATCCTTTCCCTCAAAAACAGTGAGGAGGGGGCTCACATGAGGGGCGGGGGCAGGCTGCGATTGCTAGATTGCTAGTCGCTGGGGTCTACATTTCGTATTTCGTTGACAGCCCCAGCCGCTCTAAAGCCCGCCGCGCAGCCAATGGGCAGCGGTGATTTATGGAGCTGACTAATGCTGACTGAATGCGGCCTGTCAGAGCCCACTGAATGGCTTCCCTTCCCCGCACAAGCCCCGGCTTTGTGTTGCTAAGCGATTAGAGCAGATGTAATGAGATTTTGCCCAATCCCGGCTTTGCCCTTTCCTAGCTTCGGCAAAATTGTGTGTGTGTTTGTGAATTTTTTGAGTTTGCCTTCGCATTGTGGCAAACAACGGCTAACTTTGCCTCGAGTTTAACGAGACTGGATATTTCCCCATTCAGGAATGAGTAAAAGAGCACCTGTCGTCCAGAGGAGAAGGGGAAAAAATCCCTTTTGTGGGGTTGAAACATTATCCTAATGTTATATTCATAGCCATAAATGACTTGCTACACTTTCTTTGCATACCTTCTGTGGAAACTTGCAAAGGAGCTAAATTAAATGAAAAAGAAATGGAGAGTGGGGTGAGTGAGACCCAATTCGGGTTCTCCAAATAAGAAGATAAAAATAAAAGCACGCATCACAAAAGCATCACTTCCTTTCAGTAAGCTCTAAATTGGTCCACTGCTGGCAGAAAGTCCGATTATTTATGGCGATGAGGAATTTACTGATTTTTTTTTCTTAATTACACTCATCTTTTTGAAAAGAACTGAAGCCTCAATGCGCATTCTATAGAAGGTCGTTTAGCAAAATGACATCAGACGCAGTGGCATGCTCTGTGCATCGCGGCTTTAAAAAATGATCATTCCATGCCACTAAATAGTATAGATGTACCAACACAGACTAGATTTTTAACTCTGGAAGACATGCTGGCTCCCTGCTCTTTGTTGGGTTTTTGTAAGATGCATTTTGCGCTTGGCTTTCCGCTTGGCTGGAGACACGCAAACTGAATCTGCAAGTAATGCAGGCAGCAAGCTAGGAGCAGGCGAGAGGCCCAGTAGCATTCTAATCACGTCCTTGCTAACTGACAAGAAGCAAGCCAGCCAAAAACCTACCAATTTCTTTTTGAATCTTGGTAATTGGGTACTTTTACACGCAGCTCACGCTATTGGGATAGAGTCACAAGCTTAGATAGGCCAGTGTCTCGGAGAAAGCACACAATTCTACGGTGTTCATGTCTTTAAGTCTAACTCCAAAGATAAGTCTAACTGCAAAGAATTCATATCATACATGTTTTTTACTTAAAATACTTGCAGAAAGAATATGTGGGGAAGTGGGGGGAGCAATATGAGTATGCCAATGAGGCAAGAAGAGCATGCCCACTCTGGCAGCTTGAACCTGGCTAGGGAAAGTGCCCCCCAAAGCTCCCACCTTGAACACCAGGGTCATGCCTCTGACCCCTATTCCCAATGTTAAGACCACCATTCCTTGTGAAATAGAGATGAGGGTTAGAAAGTGAGTGTGTGTGTGTGTGTGTGTGTGTGTGTGTGTGTGTGTGTGTGTGTGTGTTGCAAGCTGAGGGAACCTTTTCAGGAATATTTTTAATGTGTAGTAATTTTATCAGAGGTTGACATAAGCACAATACAGTCTCTTGATGTGACTGGGTGAACACACTTGCAGTGCAGAAGGAGAAGAAAGCCTCACGTGTATGGCAGAACTGGCGTGGCACTCAGCATCCTAGTTCTGCCACTTCGCAACCCCTGTGCCACCCTCCTCTCCCCCACCCCTTCCTCCTTTGGCATTTTGAGACCGTGGCTCAAGGGGCTTGGAATCAAAGAAGGCGTTGAGGCAGCTGATTCTTTTCATTTTTAAAAAAGAAAAAAGTTTTATTACGAAACTAGTTTGTATAAAACAGAGTTATACACTTTTTTTTTGTAAGTTTGTAATAAAACAGTAAGGAAAAAAAAAAGGCAGTGAAGTGATAGAAACTTCCAGAAGGCAACCTCTCAAAACCAACTGGCTGCCGTTTTGTGTTTGGACAGTAGCTGCATAAACTTTGTTCTTCTTGAACAGTATTTAATAACCTCATTAATACATTAACAATTTCTCTCTAAAGTAAGACACATCGGTGCTGAAGTACATCTGGTGGTATTTTGATCTCACCTATGTGGAGAGTTCTTTACAAAACCACATCGGGAAAATGGCAGTTGCAAGATGAACTATGACATCTAAAATAGGCAGAGGTAATAGCATCACATGTTAAAGTATCAAGATATACACATTTTAAACCATTTGTACAAAAGGTCTATAAATTTTCTCTCTGTCTGTCTGTCTGTCTGTCTCTCTCTCTCTCTTATGTACAAAAATATCTTAATATATCCCCAAACTGGTTAGGATAGATACAAATAGATTTTTTTTCTTATAATAAAAAAATTCACAAAAGATTGGAAGCATTCTATGACAAAAACAGTAGAAAAGACGCTGGGACCCACAGGGTTGTCAAGAACTGAGTACAGCATAGTGTTCCTGCAGACAATTGTCCACAGTCGATGGGGTGGGGTTACTGAGACCAAAGACACCAACCCGTTTGTACAGGGCTAAGAGCTACGCTTTCAAAGAGGGCGGGGAGGTGGCGCCTGAGCTGGCGCTTTCAACTCTGTGAGTTAGTGGTGGGTGGCAGTTACTATGCGGCGTGTGCTGCTCCCTTCTGCCAGGAGCCCGCTGCTCTCGCACGCAGCTGTATTTTGTGCCTTGACTCAGGTCCTAGTCGCTCTTGGTATCTCCGTGAACGATGGGAGCGCAAGGATGCGGCTCTGGACGCATCCCTGGAGTCTTGCCTCCCAGGGCGTAGCTGGCGTTGGGGTTGGTTGCCCCTGGTTTGTTTTGGGAGGTTGCCCCCTTTCTTTTTTATCTTCTTCTGTTATGTTTTTTTTTTTCTTTTCATTTTTCCCTCCCTCTCAACGTCACTGACCAAAAAGCACGAAAGACGCAGGAAGTGTGTCACCCTGTAACATAAGAATAGCAGGAGACGTTAGCATGAACTTGGGAGCCAGTGGCAGGGACGAGATGGAGGGGGTGGGGTGGAGGAGAGGAAGCTGTCAGATAGAACACCCCTGTCTTGTCCCAGGCTTCGGTCTTCCAGAATCTCCGCACTTCGCTCCTACCCTCCACTCCAGGGTACAGCCACTTTCAGGGGTCAATACTTTATATGCAATGGACAAACTTGAACAAATCATTTAAATAACAGCTCCCCCTCCCATCTCCTGGAGACAGTCCCCTCTGAGGTTTCCCAGACATTTGGAAAGAAGGCCCCCGTGCACGTCTCCCCAAAGCTACCCACCTGCTTCCAAAATCCACTGGCACCCAGGCCTGACAGGCCCAGTCCCTCAGAACCAGTTGGTGAAGTCGAGCAGCTCCTGCTCCTCGGGGCTGAGCGGGTCGTAGGAGCCCTCGTCCGACGAGTAGGAAGAGACGGGAGAACCGGCCATGGAGTTCATGTCGTTGGAATAGTTGGGGGAGATAGTGGGTGACAGCACGCCCGCCTGGAAGGCGGCGCTCACCGCGTCGTGCTCATCCAGTAGCTGCTGCAGCGCGCGGATGTACTCGACGGCCGAACGCAGCGTCTCCACCTTGCTCATCTTCTTGTTGGCTGCGCCGTTGGGGACGTGCTCCCGCAGAGTGGCAAAGCCCAGGTTCACCAGCTTGACGCGGTTGCGCTCGCGCTCGTTGCGGCGCGCCACGGCGGCCGGCTGCTGCTGCGGCAGGCTATAGCCGAAGCCGCTGAAGTTGAGCCGGCGTTTGCAGCGCATCAGTTCGGGCGAGGACGAGCGCTGTCGCTTGACTTGCTTGGGCCCTGACTTGTGACCGCCCCCTGAGGGCTGGCCGTCGGCTGCCGGGCTCAGCTGCGGCGCCTGCTGCTGCTGCTGCTGCTGCTGCTGCTGCTGGGCGCTCTGAGCTGCGGCTGCGGCCGCGGCGGCCGCGGCGGCAGCGGCCGTGGCAAAGAAGCAGGCTGCGGGCGGCAGGAAGGGCGGCTGCGGCTGGGGCTGCTGGCCCACGCCTGCGCTCTCCATCTTGGCAGAGCTCTCCATGCGCGCAACGACAGCCAAGGAGTCTCGGGAACAGAGCGAGCGGGGTAGGGGGTGGGGGCGCTAGGTGCGAGGGCACAGAGGAGACTTGGGTCCAAGAACAGAGAAGGAAAGAAGCGAAGAAATGAGGAGGCAGTCCCGAGGGAAGTTGAAGAAATACAAAAATCCCTGGGAGACTGTTTAGAAGGAGCAAGGCTGGTACAAACGGTGGTCCTCCCTCTAAGCCGCCGCCTCCTCCCTCCCCTCCTCCCTTCCCGGTTGGCTTTGGGAGCCTCGCGTGGCACTCGCGTGTGAGGCTGCCGCTGGCACCTTCTGGTTAAAGAAAGGGGGGGAAAAAAGCCAAGAGAAGCTGCAAAAGTCTGTGCCGAGCGCGCTCTCCGCGTCCCCGGTCCCTGTCGTCCTAAGCTGCGCTCTCGGGCGCCTGGTCTTGATCTCGGCAGCTGCGGCTCTGGCTTTTTAGAATTATTTTGTGAACCCCTTTCCTTCTGATTGCCTTCGTTCACTCGCCCTCTCTGGCCAGCTCCCTGTCGCTGCGCCTTCCACGTTCCCTGGCCAGAAGTGAGAGAGTGCTGGGCGGCCGGAGTGCCGCAGCCTTTTCAATGGGGCTCCCAGCCCCACGCGCAGCCCTGGCCCCGCCTCGCCCCCCACTCCCTGCTGCTATTGCGAGCGGCTGCAGCCCCCACTACCCCCTCCTCCGCCCTCCTCCTCCCTCCCACTCCCTAAATTCCCCTCCTCCCTCCCCTCCACCCTCCCGTCGCCCGCCGCCCGCTCCTTGCAAACTCCCCATTCAGTCGGGTTTGTTGTTGCAGTGCGTGCGCCTGGCGCGTGCCGGACTCCCGGCTGAATAAACAGGCGGCGCGCTCGGGGCGGGCTGCGGCTGGGATGGGGGTGGCTCCCGCAAGGGGGCGGGAGGGGTGCGGAAAAAATGGCTCTGGGGATCAGGGTGTAGGGGTGAAAAGGTTTGGGGCGAAGTGCCCTAGGAGTCTCCTGCGAACTTGGAGTCAAGCACAGGGAAGAGTTTGGACAGCGCCAGTAGCATGGGGGCGGGAGCGGAGGTTAGCCGGCCTTGGGGCTCAGTTTTTCCTGATTTCTTCTACTTCCCTCTAGGGAAGCCTTCTCCGCCCTCAGGCGCCCGAAGCAAAAGTAGGGCTGATAATGGGGGTTAAGTACCCAAGAGGGTGAAGTCCCCAGGTGCTCTCTCACCAGCAATAAGCGAGAGGTGGGGGAGGGGGCTGTTCCTCCGCTGCTCCTCTGGCGGCAGAGAAGGTTGAGTTCTAGAACGTCCCGTGTTCTATCCAGTTATGAAAACCACAGTGTGCTTCCCACAGCCAGCAAAGGTGGAGGGGCAGAGAAGAAGGCGTCTGATGGGTGGTTGCGATCCACGCCGTGGATAGGTGCACCTGGCACGGCGTCCCAGGGCGACCTTCAGGACCCTTACAGAATCACCCCCAACCCTTGTTTTTGTTTTTGAGCTGGCTGGCCCAAGAGAGGGTATATGGAGGGGGAGCACCCTGCGATACTCCAAGGCTCTCCCGGAGAGGAGAAAAATGGGAGGCGGACAGCCGATAGAGCCTGGAGAAACGGAGGAGCTGTCCTAGTTGCTCCATGCCGCCGCAGCCACCTCGGCGGCCTTGGCGCAGCCTCCATCCCGCCCCAGGCGTGTGCCCGGCAGGCCGGTGGCAGGCGACTGGGAGCCGAGCCCGGCGGGGCCGCGTGCTGGCGCCGCAAGAGAGAGGGAGGCGCCTGCAGCCGTCGCTTGGCCACTTGGACAGCGTCTGTCCAGCCGCCCTTCCTGGGCCCTCCGCCCTGGCGCTCTCAGGCCGGAATCCGGTCCAGCTTCGGGTAGTCTGAGGATGCGTGGCTGCTAAGAAAGCGGGCCCAGCAACCGCTCGGGTGGAGAGAGTGTCTCGGGCCGGGGCGTGTCTCGGGCCGCATCAATGAAGGCAGTCATCCGGTTGATTTTGTCCAGTAGAAATGTCATTTTATTTAAGGACCTGAGCGCAGCAATGCTTAGGGATGAATTATCTGGCTAATTGCTTCCCTTTGGAATATAACTTCTCATTGACGAGGTGAGATTTTAAAGGACAGTGTGGGTGACCAGGGAGCTGTCTCTTGGGATGCCTGGCAGGCTAGGAGTGCCTGCAGGACACAAGTGAAGTTCCTGGGTAGGATACACTGGTAATTTCGCAGGTAAATGCCCGCACTTCTCTGCCTCAGTTTTCCCGCCGTGGACAGGAGGAGATTTGGGTAGCACAGAAGTGAGATCTGCTCAAGGATCTCCATCACACACAACCTCCTCCTCTGCCAACTCCACAGTCACCCCAGGGATTGGGCCATCGCCCTCCCACTGGCCTGGCCACTTCCTGGAACTCCACCAGAGGCGAGGAACTGGCCAAGGTCACATTTATCTTCTTCAAGTCAGAAGGAAGGGAGGCAAAAGGACCTCAAGCAGAGCCCCAGCACCCAGCACTGGCCTCTAGCACTTTCTCACCCCAGGAAGCCTCTGGCTATGGGAGAAAGGGGATTCTTCCAGGGCTTCCCACTCTTTCACTGCCCATGCTAGGAGTCCAGGTACAGAGTGGGAAGCTTCTAGAGAAAACCTCCTCCTATTTTATCCATGTCTTCTTTGCGAAGGAATTGAGGTGGACATGCGGGAAGGGGTGTTGCAATATGGACACACTCGCATGCATGTGCAGTCAGTTTCAGGGGGATTATGAGCTCTGAGCTCCCTTCCAACTCCAGTCTCCTATTTCACACTTGACAAGTCCTGTGTCCCTAGCACTACTTTTGGCCTTTGTTCCCCAGCCCCACAAAAGGGGCACATGGTAGTCAATTTTGAAACTTAAAGCTAGGAGCAGGAAAAGTTTGTTGCTTTCCAGCGCAATGTTCCCAGTTTCCCAAAGGGGATACTGTCTTCCCCATCCACATAGAAACTGTGATTACAGAAACTCCCAGGAATGGCACAAAACAGGTGACTAATGGAAGCCCCAACTGGTGAAGCTTTGCCTTGCAGTGGCCACTGGGAGACTTCTGGCTGTTCTCCAACCTGCAGCCAAAATTCTTTCCTCACTGTCTCCACCTTCATGTGCTAAGCTTGTTCCTTACATGCTTTGCAAAGCTTTCCAGGAGCGGAGATCTGTTCCCTGCTTCAGTACACCCAGAGATGCTCCCCAGCCTTGCTAACTCCACTTTCTCCAGCCTTCAGGGGCAACATTCTAGAATTGTTCTTTAAGGGGTTGCAGCCCTACCTTTCAGGGCTCTGTATTCCCAAGGAGACTTTCCTAAAGAAATGGCATCTTGGTTGTTTTCACTAGTTTGGACCAAAGCACGGAGGCTAAAGCAGCAAAATTTGAATCCTGTCTCTGACCTAGATTGTGACATCCCCACCACAACTAAGAGAGCTGATGGCACATTCTTCTAAGTCCACCATACTCCAGAAAGAGCAGGTGGGCTGGCCTGGTGCTCAGGCTCTGCTGGCTGTGTGATCTGAAAGCAAACAGCTCGCCCGCTAGAAGAACAGGATCCTTCCCCTGCCCCATGCATCCACCACCAAGAGTTGTGAGATTTCAGTGAGGCAGATGTGCGGCACTCAAAATAAGTCTAAATAAAGAGGTGCATGATGCTCCTGTGGCCTCTCAGGCATGGGGTTCATATCAGAGGGAGGCCCAGCTCCTGACTTCCTGTAACCACTCCGTGACCATCCTGGCTCCAGCCAGTGGAACCCCAACACCGCTTTGTTTCACTGTCCCTGCAAGGAGGAGCCAACATTTCCTGTCATTTTAGAGACAGGCAGGTGATGCTGGCATAGGTCAGGGACAGGTGAATGGAACCAAATTCTTGAATGTCGACAGTCAAGAAAGAAATCAAAGACACATGGAGCTCCTGGCCCGAACAGCACACTGGATTTCTATGGTACCCTTGCCAGCCAGAGGACCTGACTCCGAGCAAGTCCCCAAGAGTTTACTTGATGGGGACATTGAACAAAGTCCCAGTGGTGTAGCCACACAGAGAGAAATAAAGGGGAAGACTTGAAATCCTCACCCAGGATGAAGGAACTGGCACCCTCTCTGTCCACCTGTGAAGGGCGTAGGAGATTCAAGTTCAGAGGCTGCTGGTGTTTGCTTTGAACATTTCTCCCTGTGTATCAAGGGTTGCCTTAGCATTCCTCTAGGCATTCCCTGCAAACAGTACTCTGCCTTGCCATGGGTGAGGACCCAAGGACCCTGACTCCCTTAGTGGATACCGCCTAGAATACAGTCAGGCCAGGAGTGAGGAGATGATTTCTTTTCAGCCTCCAGTAGCATAAAGGACTTCATTTCTGAATCTTCAGATCCCGTCCTGGATTTGGACCAGACCTTCTGTCTGCTCTGCACCAGGGCCTGTTGGTGCAGATGAATTTTCTATGGAACCTGTAGGAATCTTCTGTGCAGGAACAATGAAACTCTGGTGCCTCCTTAATTCCATTCACAGCTGAAGGCCAGAGGAGTGTCACTTTTGCTCATTCTCTCTCTGTAAGTGCCAGAATTGTGTACCTCCTCTGTGGAAAGGAGATGGATGGCCTGCATTGCATTGGAGACATTCCACTTGTGTTTTTCCTCAAGGGAGAGGCATTTACGTGGGAGGGGAGGGGCTTTCGATTGGACAAATCAAATAATGCAGTTGTTGCTTATAGTGGCTCTTGAATAAGGAGCAATGACACACAAACACACATGGATACAGCATGGATTTGGTTAGGAGACTTTGTGTGCAATCCTTGATTGGGGGAAACTGTGGGTGCTTTGAGGAAGGTGAATGTACCCCACAGGTGGGCAAATCTATGGTCTTTGCTAACCCTAAGGTGGGGCCTCCGTGCTGGAGCGCATGCGCCTACCCAGTCCTACCACAGGGAAGGAGAAAGGACTGCACATCTACAAGCACATCTTCTCAAGGTGCCTTCAGCAACGGCCACTGCCCAGGCTGGCAGAGTCTGCGCCAGTCTGGGCCGAGGACTTGTTCCAGGGCAGACATTGAGCTTGGCTCAGCTTCCTCCTCATCCCAGCAGCCTGGCCTGCACCTGCATTAAGGAATCCAGGCCTTCTAACAAATCTATTCACTTTTTTCTTTTTCAACATGCCTTAAAAAGAGAAGAAAAAGTTGGAAAAACAAAAAGAAAAAAAGCACAAACTATATTTTATTGTGGCTCTCTTGGCTGGGGAGGGGAAGGAGGGGGTAATTTGCAGCCACCCTCACAAGTCCTTTTGAAGTTCTCCAGATAAGGAGGAGTAAGGCTAAGTCTTTTTTCTAAGGCCCCATTTACATTATGATTAAATACCTTCCTTGGGAAGCATAAAGAAAGTCGTTAATCTATATAGCTCTCCAAAGAATCAATACATTCTAAACTTTTGTAGGATTTGTTACTCTATTTTGTTACAGTAGACCAGCTCCTCTCTTGTCTAGGCACATGGCTCTCCTTTCCCTCCGCCTCCCTGCCTCTTCCAAGAATGAAAATAAAGTAAAGGCCTTTCACGGTAAACAAAACCAGCTGATTCTTCACAGGGAACCCCTGAATAGCTGAAGAAGAAGAAG